TGCTTTTTAATCACCTAATTAACATAATTAATTAATACTGTATATCTCAAGCATTGATCATCACATTTGAATAAAACTTGGTACATAAATGGTCTAGGACAATAGACAGCCTGATTAATTTTGGGTTAAAATCTGTTCATATTAATTCTCTAATTAGCATAATAATTAATATTTTTTTGGTTCTAATCACCTTTCAATGAAACTTGGTACATTGTGCAGACCTTATTAGTTTGACACTTAAATCTGTTCGTTACCTTATTTGCATAATAAATTTTCTGCGTTTCCATCAACATCTCAAGTTCAAGTAATTTTGAATTAATTTTTAATGTGTCTCCAATACTCTCGGCACACAGGAGTTCTTTCTAAGCTTTCTTTGATTAATTAATGCTGTTCCAGAGCAATATCTCCCAATATGGACAAGTACTTGTTAAACAATCATCGTAATCATATTCCTGACATAGTTATATTCCAGCTATATTACTATAAACAAAACTATATATCTTAAATTTGATAACTAACGGGACTGTGCCATGCATGGCTTGTTTTGAATATGTTCCATCTACAGTGACACTTGACCCCAAAGCACATTTTAATTAACATGTATTTTATTTTTAATTAACAGTGCTTTTAATCAAAGATAAAACAACTGGAAGATCCAGGGGCTTTGCGTTCGTTACATATGAAACCTCTTCTGATGCAGCTTTGGCTGTTACTGGGCTCAATGGCAAGGTATGGAAGATTAGTTCATTTACATCATTTAGTTTAAAAATGCATCTCAAAAAAAAAAAAAGAATATCATGAACTAAATGCCAGAGATGCATTGTCTAGTTTGTTTTTGTTTCACATCTTGCAGGAATTTATGGGTAAAGTCATCAAAGTTGATCATGCAAAGAAGCCTTCCTTTCAACAGCCAGGATACACACCTAACAGGGGACGAGGCAGAGGAGATAGAGGAGATAGAGGTGATAGAGGGGATAGAGGGGGTTTCCGTGGTCGTGGTGGAGATAGAGGTGCTTCACGGGGTATGTCGAGGTACAGTAAAATTTTCATCAAGTACTTTTTGTGGTGTAGTGATTCTGTGATTAATAGATCTTACTAGAACCCATGTAATATAGTGCTAGTTGATATTTATTGACTAAAGATGTAACTGTGCTTAAGGTCTGCATGTGATTGTGTCAACCTGAGTAAGGTCAAAATAGTAATGGAACTTTAAACTGCCATTGTAATAGCAAAATGTAAATGAAACCAATCACACATTTTCTATAACATAGTACTATATACAGTTATCATTTGTGCCAGCAATTTGCATTTAAATTTGTTTTGAGTGACTGAACAAATGTACTTTTTTTCAAGAATGCTTATTATTAGGAACAGTATTGTTACTTTTGTATTTATATTTTTATAGGGGTATGGGTGGTGGTGGATACAGGGGACGTGGCAGTTATGGAGGTGGTTATGGAGGAGGATATGGAGGCTATGGTGAAAGCGGTGGCAGGGGAGGTTCAGGATATGGTGGTTACTCTAGTGGACGAGGAAGTTACAATGGTAGAGGAGAATATGGTGGAGGTAGAGGTGAATATGGGAGAGGAGGATCACGAGGTAGCAGAGGTAAGTTAAGTCTATGGATCCCTGGTCTTTTGTGATTCAAGTTTTTTCCGCGTTGCACAAACCAAATTATGACAATCAACACTGTAAGCAACTATGAAAAAAAACTGAATTCTGACATCCATAGTTTTTAAAGACTAATTGCTTCTTTTCAAAAACAAACTACTAATATTTTTTGTAAATTTCTAAATTTTTGTTGTCCAGTTGGGCTACCAATTTTTGTAAAATGGTAGCCCCAGGACAAGATTTGATTATGTGTGTGTCCTGGGCTACCTTTACCAGCTATATAACATTTATATAAATGTACCCTCTGGTCATGTTGGACATAAGAACAAATTTCAAAAAGCTTGAAGCTCAGTTGTTCTAAAACTGTATACCTTTCTGGTCTGGTCTGGTCTGGTGATCTGTAGTCATTTAGTCAGTCAGGGAAAATGGATATAAATATGCAAATAATACTCTGCTACTTCAAAATGAATTTTGAATAAAATAAAATAAAAATCTCAGATAAGAATTTTGAGACCTGAATTCTTTTTAAGATGTGTAATGCTATATATGTTAACTTTATGCAGTTTGTAATATTGGATAGTTGAACCATTTTCATTGATGACTTAGTATACCAATGTTCATGTATTCATGTCAGGGCATCCGCTGATAAGTTTTACCTATGTTGGATACCATGGTTCTCCCCATTATACACACAGTATGGCGCGTTCTCCCCAGGATACACATAGTATGGCGCGTTCTCCCCAGGATACACACAGTATGGCGCGTTCTCCCCAGGATACACAGAATGGCGCGTTCTCCCCAGGATACACACAGTATGGCGCGTTGTCCCCAGGATACACACAGTATGACGCGTTCTCCCCAGGATACACACAGTATGGCGCGTTCTCCCCAGGATACACAGTATGGCGCGTTCTCCCCAGGATACACATAGTATGGCGCGTTGTCCCCAGGATACACACAGTATGACGCGTTCTCCCCAGGATACACACAGTATGGCGCGTTCTCCCCAGGATACACAGTATGGCGCGTTCTCCCCAGGATACACATAGTATGGCGCGTTCTCCCCGGGATACATGCAGTATGGCACGTTGTCCCCAGGATACACACAGTATGGCGCGTTGTCCCCAGGATACACGCAGTATGGCGAGTTCTTCCGAGAATACAAACAGTATGGCGAGTTCTTCCGAGAATACAAACAGTGTGGCGATATTGCTACAGGCTGTGTTTTGGGGCCACACTAGTCTGACTCGGCTACAATGATTATCTCAACTACCACAGTGCCATTTCCGGGGAGAACACTGGCTATCATTTAATCAATTTTTAATCTGCATTTGTGTCGCAAGCAACTTGAAAATTTAATCTGGTGGAGGATTAGTTGGAGGTCTAGCCGTCGGTGACTGGTGGAGGTTTAGTTGGAGGTCTGGCCATTGGTGACTGGTGGAGGTTTAGTTGGTCTGGCCATTGGTGACTGGTGGAGGTTTAGTTGGTCTGACCTTTGGTGACTGGTGGAGGTTTATATGTGTGAATGTTAGTGATGTACATGTACATAAATGTTGTGTGCACTTGCCCTTTTGTTCGCTATTCATATGGTATTTGAATAAGAATATAATTCAAATGGTTCCATTTTTTTCCTTCAGATGATGGTCCACCACAAAAGAGAATGAGGTCTGATATAGGTGAGCAATTCTCTAATGTATAAATTAAGATTGAATGCTCTAGTGTAAAATATATACTGATTACCATGATTGTTTTTTTAAACACAATGCCTATATATTTTTTCTGAAGGAAATACTACCTACAGTATACATAATTGTACATTAATGTATATCAGCAAAGTAAATAAAACTTGTTAGCATGAGGTAGAATAAATTCTCATTTAGTTGCAAGGGACTTTGTTTCATTTTAAGTGGCTGTTGTTGGTTCATATTTGCTTGCTAGTCAGCATTATGGTAAATTTCATTTGTATTTCAGGCAGAGGCTATGATGATCAAGGTGGTTATGGAGAAGAACATGGATATGGTGAATCTAGGTACAGTGATTATCCATCCCGTGATCCCCCATCTAGGGAGTATCCTCCAGAAAGGAGTACTGAACCTCCTCCAAGGGGATACCCTCCAAGGGAAAGGTAAGTGTACCATTATTACTCACCGTTAGGATGAAGTCCGAAAATGTGTTTTTTTGGTCATGTGTAGACAGATTTTGTTCAAACTCAATACAAACATCAGACATAATAGGACCTTTTCCGATCTCATTCAAAACAAGCCATCAAAGATGACAGCATAGCTGTTCATATATTTGATTTATCCATTGTCTGTCAACAATTCCATTTTCTACTTCTTGAAAACGACCAGCTCAATTGCTTTGATACTTTGGGCCCATAGGTTGACCTCCAAAAGATTTGTAACACTATAACAATTGTAATTGCTATGGCAACAACCAAAGAAACTTGCATTGTTAGTGATATTGCAAGAACATTGTGGGAACACTAACTATGGCAAATAGTTAATATTTCATCACACAGAACAATATCAACTTTGTCAGGTTGCTTGTTAACGAATGCTATATTCCTGACATGCTTTTGTCTCGTCATGCAATTCCAGACATTTAAGGTTACAAATTCTGCAATTCTGGGTCTCTGGTAATGCATGGCCAGATTTTGTTCAAAATTTCTATGTATTGCCTTCCTGGAGATTAACATGATTGCTAAATATTGCCTTGTTCAGAGGAGAATACCCACCTAGAGAGCCATACAGAGCAGCAAGAGACTACCCACCAGAACGTGAATCGTATAGTGCTAGAGATTATCCAGCAAGAGATTATCCTCCTCCTGCTAGCACACGTGATTATGCTACTCCTGCACCACGAGAGTACCCACCAGCTGCTAGCACAGCTACGGATTATTCTTCTACTACTGCTGCCCCCCGTAGAGGATATGAAGAAACTAGCTACGCAAGTCGTGATTATGGTACTTCTGCTGCTTCTTCTGTACCTGCTGCACCACGGGATTATGCACATGGACAAGAAACTAACAGCAGGGAGACAACATATTCCCGGGAATATGATTACAGTAAGTAACTTTATGTAGACTTTTATGTGCAATGTGCAATGTCCAATTTCAGAGCTTCCATCATTCTGTTTTTAACAGACATTGATTTATTTGCAATTTATAATAAATTCAATAATGTCTAAGGTCTAATTATAAAGTTTATAAAATCACCGTATTCCTTGTTGATCAAAGGACATTTCACCAATATTTTGTTATAGAATGTTTCAGGTGTAAATAGTTTAGATTTTGGAAATAGCAAAATGAGCACATCAGATTTCTCTGCAATGCGTTTGTAAGAAGCTACTGCCAGAACATGTATTAAGATAGGCATAACCCTTAAAAATCAGTAGTCAATATCTGAGATTTTCTTTTAAGCAAGTTCAAAAACATGGGAAAATAAAGGTATTTCAATATCCTCCAAGATGTGCGACCTTTTCAGGGTTGTGTGTAAGGTCAGATAGGCTTAATGTGCATCACTTTATATCTTAACACTTTGTTGTAGGTGCACCAAGTAGCCGAGGTTATGAAGGATACCCCAGTACAGGTACTAGAGAATACAGTGATTATGGTGGTAATGTTGCAATTTAATTAATTTCTGTGGTTTTATCTGTTCTTCCTATCAAAACAGTTGACTATTTTGTCTTCTGTCTGTCTTCTTTTATCTCTATACATCATCTTTCCAAATTCAAATGAATTCTATGCTGAAATAAAGTGAAATAACAAATTTAAACTACAAAATAAAAAACTTATTAACATTAAAAAATATCTTTTTTTTAAAAAAAAGTAACCGATGTCAATTTTAGTGAAATTCAACAAATTGAAACTTCTAAACATCAAATGCCTGTGTCTTGTTCTGCTTTTGTTTGTAATGTCTTTCCAACTTCACAGCCAAAGCTGGAGTGTTGCTAAATAGCAGTTTGATTTTCTTGAAAACAGGAAACTGATTTATTGAAAGAAGATTTAACTTTGTGCCTTCTCTCCACAGTCTGTCTTTGTAGTTTTAATCTTCACTTCTGTAGTATCATCATTTCATGAAAACATGAAAACATTCCAGCTGTCACTAAAAAAAAACTAGAAAACAGTTAGCTTGATAGTGGCTTTACTGTTAAACAAAATGGAAGTGCTGATAACACACATTGGAGTAAAAATTAAACTGGTTTGAAATGTTTACCCGTGCAGGTTCAATCAAATGTAGTCGGCTCAAAAAATGTTTTTTTTTTTCTCAACTCAAATGTAAATACAATTTCAGGTGCATCCCGTTCAGCTGCTCCAGCACGTCAAGCAGATACTTATGGAGCAAATGGTAGGGGCAGATATGATTCCTATGCTTCGCGTGACCCATATGCAGAGGAAAAAGTAGGGTACCCACCACCCAGAGAGTCGTATGGGGCTGAAATTGCCCCTTCTCGTACCGCACGCCCATTAGACCATAGTGCTGCTCCCCCTCCAACTAGAGGATACGATCGTTACTAAAATGCCAATAAAAGGCCACCAGTCAGCGGCAAAGAATCATGGAAAAACAACAAATTTATGAAACTCAAGTCATGAATTACAGCAACTACGTAAACATAAACTTTATCCCTTGAGCACTAATTGTCACTCAAGTATATTTAAAACTGTTGAAATCTTTGTTAACCATTGTCAACTTATATCTGAATAATCTCAACATGCACATCAATACCTGACAACTTTGAAATAGAAGTAAATTTTTATTAGGAGTACCACCACACTTGTTATGTACAAAAACTGTTGAAAACAAGTTTTGTAAACAGCTGTTTTCTGATAGTCCTCTGCTCACTTATTTGATAATTACTGGTTGTGAAAAAAATAAAGGCAGTTGGATATATTTGGGAGTGGCACTGAAAATATGGCCAGTTTTTATAAAAAAAATTTAAAAATTCTTTGTACTTGATTCACTAATACAATGTTGACAAATCTGGTAAGGTTGTATAAATTGAAGTGCACATTTTTGTAGTTGTGTATGAACTAAATGGTTCCACTGCCAGAAGTCGTTACTAAATGATGTCGGTCAAATGACTGTCGAGGTAAAATACTATTTGAGCTAGTTCTTGTTTTATTAAAAAGTTTCACATGTCTCTGTATTTCAAATCTTCTCTGTTTTAATAGACCAAGAAATCAAGCAAAAGTCTTATAACATGTTATTGTAAAAGAGAAAAAAAAAAAAATGTTTTTTGTGTAGTTTTCTTATTTGTAAAAGTATTAAACTTGTTCTTATCCTAAGTATTAGTTGTCATTAAGTCAACCAATTCCAAGCAAGTAAGAATGAAATCCAAACAATAGTATATTGATTCGTGTCTCTTGATAAATAAAAGCACGATTAAAATCTTGCCATATCAAAACAGATATTCTGCTAGATTCATCTTACTCCTGAAATCTTATAATTGACCACATATTTTGTTTGTTCCGACTGTCCTTACAAAAACATCCCTTTATAATGGCGTAACCAGATCTTGGATGAACTATTTCCACAAATAGTTGACTTGCCATGTTGCCGTGCAAGAGGAAAAAAAATCATACACATTCAAATAAAAATTGCCATGAAAAAAAAATCTGTAGCAGACTGCCAACCTGTCTTAAAGAAGTGAAGAGAAATATTAAAAAAAACTGGTTGATTTGCTTGCAGTGCTAAAGGTAATGTATGAATTCTCATCTCTATAATGGCCGGTAAATGTCAAAATTAAATAAAACAAAATGTATTAAAGTGACTGTGTCGGTAAAACGTATAAATATTTGCCTATATTCACTAATTCAAGAAATGATGTAATAATTATTAATGTGTTCGAGTTGAAAAAAAACTATTCAAAAAAACAAAATGCCAGGTGCAATATAAAATAATTTGCCGGGAAAAAACATTTTAAATGTTACAAATTACTAAAATCTGTGATTATTGCTATCCAATTTTCTTTCAGTGTGTAGTGATAGATGACGAAAATAAATTTTTTTTTTTAGCACAAGAAAACAGTAAATCATATACAACTAATGTAGTCAAAAAATGTTCAATCCAGGAACCTCTCCAAAGATCAATATAAAACAAACTTCTATAAACATTGCATGGGAAGCATGTATTAATAGCAAAAATGCTTCGGGGGAAAATTCCAATTTGATCAGGTGTTGAAATTACACTGCTGACTTTTAAAGTTGTATTTCATTAAATAGACCTCTTTCTTAAGCTAGAGGACCCTCAGTTTCCTGTCAGAGAGACCTTTCAGTTTGACTTTAATATATGATGGGTTAAATTTAAAAAAAAAAATCATTTTTTGTACATGTAGTGAAACGTGCTTCGCCTGAAAGAGTCTCTGTCAAGACACTAAAGTCTCTGGACTTGTCAAGAGTCTATCACTTCACACATGGGTGACTTGATATTCTATTGATATTGCATGAAAGACTTGGGTCTTGTTTCTTTCTATATTCAGATGTGTGCACCGATATTCTTTTTCAGTAGTACCTGTTCAGCAAATACAGTTTACCTAAATTATTATAATTTTTGTGATTGATATGCCACGCCAAGTAATGTGAAATTGTTGATCTAATGCATTTCCATTGACAGAAATGCATTGAATTACTAAATGAAAATATTTTCTATACTTAATATTGTCAGACAAAAAGACTGATGCGGTGGCAGCAGCAGTATAAACTTTGATGCCAACAAGTCACTGGTGTTGCCTGGAGATGTTCCACTGGCTCCTCAAACTTTGAGAAGCTAAAATATGGAAGAAGTCATTCAATTTGAAAAATGTTTTTTTTTTCCATTATACCATGCAAATATTTTAGATTTTTTTTTTTAAACCAAACCCACAATACCATTGAAACAGCTTCTACTGTATTTGAAATGCGTCTTTACTTCGCCATATTTCCTAATTAAGATACTGTTTTAAAAAAAAATTGTTCGGCGTTGTATTAAGTTTTATATATTAACATTGAGTGAATATGAATACTGTATGAAAATTCTGTATTTTGATTTAAAAAAAGGTTTAATCATTTCAAGAAGAGGGGACAAATGTTTCTTGCACATTTTTTGATGCTTCAACAATGCGCGATGACAGTCTGTTCTATGGGCAATGCCATCTCAATTCAGAACAAATTATCATTTTAAGGTAACTGTTATTTATTTACATACCATGTACGCCAAAAGGAAGAAAAAAAAAACTTGTTTATTTGAAATAATTTGTCAAATTGTATATGTAAAGCAGCTGTTAGATGTACATATTGATGTGGAACATTCCATCATTGATAACTCTGGTGTTGCGCAGTAATCTAAACAACTCCCATTCCTATCTTAACTGCTTATAAAAAGCGCATCTTGCCAAAAATCCCCCCCAATTGTTTAATAAAATTGTTTACATGTATCTTGAATAAAACAAAGTATTAAAACTGTTGTGAAACCATCTGACAAATTTATATCGCTTTATTGAGTGATATTTCATCACTGAAATGCATATTTAGATTTATGGGCAGTGAAACAAATTGTGTTCATATTCAGGGGCAGGGGCAGAAAAATGAGCTGCCTATTCAGATTTGTTAGGGAAACAAGTTATTCAGGTTTAGGGAATGTGAAAGGACATTTAGATTTATAGGGGTTGAAACGAATTGTGTACTGTAAAATGACTAATTTTCACTGGGTTTAAATTTCACTGATTTACCATTTAGATAATGTGTTTTATGCTAAATTTTACATAATCACTGGGTTTTAATTTAGCACATTTTCCATTCAGCGATATAAGCCAAATTAAAACCCAGTGAATAGTTAACCATTTTACAGTATTTAGATTTGAGGGCAGTGAAACATTACATATTCAGACTCCAGGGTGGTGAAACTAATTATGTATTCAGATTCGAGGGCAGTGACACAAATTATGTATTCAGATTTGAGGGCAGTGACACAAATTGTGTATTCAGATTCAAAGGCAGTGAAACATTCGGACTCGAGGGCGGTGAAACGGATTGTGTATTCAGATTTGAGGGAAGTGAAACACGATTTATTCAGATTCAAGGGCAGTGAAACAAATTGTGTATTCAGATTCAAGGGCGGTGAAACAAATCAGTTATTCAAATTTATAGGAGTAAAAAATTCAGATTCGTATGAGCAAAACTAGTTAAGACTTCAGATTCAGGGCAGTGAAACTACCTAATTGCATATTCAGATTTGCTGGTGATGAAACTAATTAAAAGGTTGATGGGAAAAACAAATCACATTCTGATTCATTAGTGAAACAATTTACATATTCAGATGTGTGGGCAGTGAAAGTTGCTTACAAGTTTGATTCCTTTGCTGTCTATTGAATTTGATATTTGCATCAATTCAACATAAGCTGCAGTGAGCTGGGTGCATGCTCCAACATGCATTTGTAAACTAATATTCTCAAATGAATTTAGAATGAGAAATTGTCATCTGAGGAACAAATTGTTGCTTGACGTTTAAAAATAGTGATATGGTCAATCGTGTTGGTGAAGAGGAAACAAGATTTGTGATACCATGTGGTTTTGTAAGGCCAAGAAAATGTTTCTGTCATTGTGCATGGAAATGTGCATGTTATTTCCATGGGCCATGCTCAGTTTTTTAGATTCCTGTGTGCAAAGGACACAATGAGTCTTTGTAGTTAGTTCCACTGATATCTCAAGAACCATGTGTTGGTTTTAGATTATTGCATAGATGCTCTGGGCTAATGTGCTTATTTTTGGCATTTCCACTGATATCTCAAGTATTAATCATCACATTAAAATGAAGCTTAGTACATGCATTTTCAAATACTTACTAAATTTCAATGAAACTATGTACTTAGATGGTCTAGGACTATGCACAGACCTAATTAGTTTTGAATAAAAAATCTGCATATTAATCACCTAATTTTCATAATTAGTCAATATTTGGTTTTTCAATATCAAATACTAATCACATTTCAATGACACTACATGGATGTTCTAGGACAGTGCACAGACCCGTTTGATCTGTGCATATTACCTAATTTGCAAAATTCATAATTTTTTGGCTTTCCTTCAATGTCTCTACTTCTAATCACATTTTGATGAAACTTGGTACATTGATATGCGACTTTCTGCACACCTTATTAGTTTTAAATTGTATTTATTTTGCATAATTAGTCAGCTTTTCCATCATTACCTTGGGTACTTATCTTATTTCAATGAATCTTGGTACATAAATACTTAATTAGTTATGGGTTTACATATATCCATATCTAATTTGCATAATATTTCACTTTCTACTTTCCATCAATTTTTTCAAGTATTGAAGCGCATAATCATCACATTTCATTCGTTTAGTTTATAGATGCTCTGGGATAATCCACAGGTTTAATAATGATAACATGCATATTGAACATTCGATTATTAGCCTAATTATTTCTCAAGAAGTCAGATTTAAATTGAACTCTTGGTAAAGGTATACTGGAATAAATTACACTGAAAACCAAAATGTATTGTAAAATCAAATGTATTTTTTGTAAGTACAGTGGCCCCTCGCTAAGTCGCGCCTCGGTAAGTCGCGATTCGGCTAAGTCGCGGGTACTTGGATGGCTCCCAAAATTTCTATTGTGTTTTGACAGCAATTTTGAAGTACAAAGACTAATGTTTCGTGGCATAGTGTTTTTAACTAACCGTTAAAGAGACAACTTAACACCTACTGTCCGTCAATTGCTGAGATGCAATGGGTGGCGGCGGCCTTACTCAAGGTGTCAACAGGGGTGTCGAGTAGTGACCGTACGTACTTCTTGGCCGGTCCCATTTTGTTATACCTCTACAAAAACTCGCT